AGCTTCATTCTGTGGCTCGCTGATAAGTTAACTGCATACAGCACAGCATTCAGACGAGAAAAACCTATGCACCACGGAAACAAGTGTATAGTGTACACAAATTAACAATACCAATCGTCATTACCCACCTTTGTACCGCTGTATCAACACCAGCAGGCATTTATGCCATGCCACGGTAACTTTAACTTCGCTCGGGGCAAATCGATGGAAGTGGTCAACGCACTCATTTATCGCCTGCATGCAATGTCACAAAGCAAGTAAATCGTTGTGGTATTTAACAGCGTTAATAAATGACCCTGTGTGTGCGTTGCGACAAGAGTCACAGATAGACGCTGTCCACAGTGTCGCAAGGTGAAAAAAGATCCCAAGCAATCTACCCAGGCCGAGACCGAGTGTTCCTTGCCTGCTCGTTAAAGCCACACTTCTAGAATCCCTTGAACGCCAACCCACCTGAAGTGGAAGTGAGTACTTTTTGTCAATTAAAACGGTCATCATATGGCTAACAGACGGTATCCATTGGTCCGGTGTTACTGCGGCTAATCGGACCAAAGCTGCAGCGCCATGTAGTACAGGGATTGACACTTTTGTCACAACACTCCCGACAATCACAGCCTCTCGGATCGTGCAGCCCTGCGAAACACACATCCGCCCGCCTGAAGCCCTCTATTATCCGCACTATTCGTATCGCTGCAACTTTAAGATCTTCAACTATACGGCACCACTATCTACAAAGCAATGTGCTTGAAGGACTCCCCGTACATCGAGAGCCAGTGGTAGATAAATGCCCTTAAAGAAGGCGCCTGGTTTGAACAGTGCCTTCTTCAAAGCCATGTAGAGGTGGTAATTTAGTTTTTTGTTCTCCGCGATGTCGTCACGTACAGCCGGGAGTAGGACTGTGCACAGGAACCTCTGTGCCATTGCTTCTCGCAGATTGCTGCAGAATATTCGCGTTGCCTCTCGTGTGGCCTGCTTAGACCACATAGTTGGATTCGTAAGCACAAGTATTTCTTCCCAAGCGTGCAACCGAGGAATGATTTTGAAGGCCTTTGGCATCTTTCCGCTTCTGTAACGTGCGAGAAAAGGCGCCATGGCCGTGTAAACCTCCACAACCTTCGGCGATAGGGATGATTCCACACGTTTTTCCTGTGATTTATCCTTGTTTTCTGTCTGTTTCTTGAGCTGCTCCATTACCAGATCCGCAAGATTAACTGTTGCCCGTGTTGCAGAGCTCCCAGTCCGCTGTTTCTCGAAAACCAAGTCCTCTTCATCCTCCTCGCAATCCAAAACAACAAATCCGTCTTTGTCTGCCGTCTCCTCGTCGGGGCCACCTCCCTCTGCATCAGATGCATCGGCTATTCCTTCTCTGTTCGCATCGCAAAGTGCAGAAACAAAACCCGTAAAAGTCAGCCCATCTCTTCAAGATTACACGTCATGCGTTACGCTCCCTACAAAAGTAAACATAATCAACTGCGAATCCATTCGCCGTTATTCAAAAAACACGAACCACGAATGCATCCTCACGCTCTCTGCTGCTCCTCAACGAGCTTGAGGAGTTTCTTTCCAAGTTTTGGCGGCAACAGGCCCTCCTGCTCCTGATCATCGCGAGTGCAGTTCTCAACGGCTTCAGCATCTTCAACCGCTTGCTTTATCTTCACGTTCCTAGGAGCATCTATGGCGCCTCCAGGCAGAGGAATACCGCGCGCGTCCAGCACGTCCTCGTACAACGGGTTGTGCCGAGGAGCGCCTTTGCGCCTTCTTCTCTCAGGTTTCGGCCTGAAAATATACAAAACACGCAAGCAATAAACACTGAAGAGACACACTGAGTCTCTACACGAGAGCAGACGTGGGGCGTCCCGATGGAGAGTCAATTAGCCCCTATATGACAACTGAATGAGGGATGTTTCTGTGAAAAGCGTCAAATAAATCAGGATTGCACTACGGACCACCCAACCATGAAGACAGCAATAACAGCCTGCAGAATCGACTCACATGTTTAGGCGTCATGAGGCATATCAAACTTGCGGGGAGGCTGGCCCATACACATCAAGTGTCACGGAGATGAATTCGTCTGCGCGGTTCCGTTCTCAGTGAAAATGGTACAGATACCCGAATGTCAAAAAATGTGGTCCCAAACAAATTAAGAACCATAAGAGGAAAAAGATTCAGTCTGCAAAGGATGAACAATGTGGGGAGTGAGGCTCCTCGACACCAAAGCCGGTTCCGGTGTTACTCAGGGATCAAAAACCGTAACGAAAAACCTTCCAATACACTATATTGTATGCACATGATAAAACAAGTATTAAAGAGTTGTCCAAGCCAAGGCTCCCGTCGGCTCAAGGCCGACTTAATGAAACTGTGGGGAGAGGCATGGGCTTCTGCACTGGTAGCAGCCAGCCCCTACAAAGTAAGCGGCGGCGCTGTATTCTTGCTCTGGTTCCGTATATGCATTTCGTCACTGCATTACTTTGCAATTTCATAATACCTCTTGTCTTTATTCCGATCCGAAGCCTTTCGAAAATGTCGACCTCGACGGGCATTCGTGGTGCGTCATAGCTCCGACAGAACGGCCCAAAGCCCCTCAGCGCCCCACCAACAAATTCTGCTCCGTTTCCTTGTGATTTCCAGCAAAATGCTCGGAACCGTAAACTCGGTTCTCTCTTGCTTTCTGGAAGCCACCAGGCTACTGAGCGCTCGTCCTCTGCTGCCCACATTACTCCCGCTTTTTGGGGGCCCTGATGTGCATGTAATGTACATTTTCGGGGGATTTAGATTCGTGCTTGTAAAGTCCTAAGCTTCCAGAGACCTTGAGTTCTTCTGCTAATGCATGTACGGTGCATTTCGCGGTGATGCGTAGATGGTTGCGTTGTGTGTGTATCAGTGGTTGGCTTAGCTCGTGCATATTCGAGGGCTTCAGTCACACACATCACATGCTTCTGCGGGAATACGTGGGAATATATGTTGATGTCAGCGTACGACCACGCTTTGGCTTCTCTGCGTCGATTCCACACACAGGACAGTTATGTCAGGCTTAAACTAGAGCGTTTGCGTCTGTGTGTTCAGTCGGTCTTAACAAGGGGTTCTTGGTGACAAAGCGCGCGACGCCGCCACGTCCTTCCCGCAGAAAGGGGAAGAAGACGACACGTGTGCAGGCGATTCGCGAGATCATTCGTCAGGTTGCTGGTTTTGCTCCCTACGAAAGACGCGTGCTTGACCTTATCAAGATCGGCAGCGCAGCCACGACTAAGCGTGCTCTTAAGTTTGCCAAGAAGCGTCTGGGCACCCACAAGAGGGGAAAGGCGAAGAGAGAGGAGCTCAGCAACATCGCAGCGGCCATGAAGAAGAAGGCCGCCGCATAAACTACCCTAAGCAATGAAACAGATAACATGGAAGGGGTACAGATGGGAGTAGCACAAACAAGAACGGAAGCCCAAGCAAAAGCGGCTGCGTGTAGCTGCATTTGCAGTGCCGCTGGATGGCGGAGGGCTGAAGGTTCTTTTTCTCTGTTGCGTTGGAAAGATCGACACTTTCAAATTTATCCATGTTTTTGCTAGTTTTTTCGCGTTGCGCAGAATAGGAGGAGCGTATGCCCGCAAGTCAAGCACCTATGTAGGACGCAAAACTAATAGAAGTCAGCTACGCATGTTGCTGCTCGCGCATACTTAGCACTTAGTTATTGCGGTGCTATTTGCAGCCCGACAAGAGCGTGCACATTGGTTTCGCAGGTAGTGCAGGCCTCGGAGGTAGTGCCGGTCAAATCATCAGAGCAGCTAATTAGCTTTGAACAGCTCTACTTCCGGACAAGCCCTTGGTCCAAGTACGTTCCTTAGGAGTGCATCTCCAACTGTCGGGCTGCATTTCGGTGCTCCAGACGAATCTCGTAGGTGGTTGGATAGACAGATTCTGTAACGATGCATGTGTGAGTTGGCATTGGCATGTGGAAGGATTTCCTGAAAGGAAAGATCTCTGCAGTAAACAGCGCCGCGGGCACACCTTGACAGCACGCAGCACTGGAGAGGGGGACCAATCTGGAAAAAGGAATTACGCATGATCGAGAAAAAGAACATTAAAAATATATTATAGAGCGTTGGACCCTCTTCAGGCGGGTTGGATCGTTGATTTTCTCGGGAAGGATAGGCTGTAGCCTCCTTTACGGCCAGACTAACTGGTTAATCATGCGCAGGTGACCTCGCTGGGATGAGACCTTGCAGCTTCGGTGCAAGCTTGGTCTAGCCTTGCAACCATTGACTTCACAAGCCGTTTGTCTAAGTATTATAGGAAGTATTTCAGCAGCTTATCTTTTAATTTGGGGTAATACATAATGGGACAAGCAGTCAGGGGGAGCTAGTCAGCGGTGGCTGCTCGCGGTTTTCCGTTGCAGTTGCGGGACATGAAAAGGAAAAATTCTAATTTTCATTGTTTCAAATTTGTTGTTAATTAGAGAAGTCCAGACGAAGTAGATGAAGCGAGGAAAGGGAGCAGCGCAATGGAGTGAGCCGAAATTTCGCTCGGTGAGTGACCTGGAACTGGCGCATGCAAGCGGGGCCGCACAGCTCTGAAAGACACTTTCCAGAACATTTAAGCCAGCCAAAAAATGCATCTAATGAATTAGTCGTGCTTTTTAAAACTAAATGAAGAGGTAATGAAGAAGTCGCAGTATGGCGTTTTTTGCATCACCTCAACACTGCCACTTGCACAGCTGCCGGGAGCTTGCAAAGCGCCGGTTGTTTGTAACGATGCGGCTTCCCTTCATAAGTACAATGATGCCTTTCTAGTAATACCGAGGTCATTTTTGTGTGTGGAAGAATGCATGCAATGGCAGCGCAGAAGCAACTGCTTCATGATGCGCGCTGTTGATTGCCGCTCAAACTGTTCTACGTGACAGTGTCTCTGCACTTTCTGTTACTTGACCGCCATTTTCAGAACAGCAAATGCATGAAAAGATAACAACAGGTATATAACAACATAACAACGCTGCGTGGCTTACCGTATTCCACACCAAAATGGCTCGCAAAAGCTTTCGCATCTCGAAGGTGGGGTTGGGAGGGACAGGCGACAACTGGATGGTAGAAATGGTGCGCGCGATAGCGAGCGACAGCGAAATTGAAGCGCTGGGTGTACCAATTGAAGAAGCGGGAAAGGCCATATGCAAGAACGTGTTCCCCATTCTAAAAAATCACCTAGCTTTCGTAGTGCAGTATGACAGAAACTGTTTTGAAGCAGCGCTCGTCGACGAAATTACGCAGGGGGAGGGACCTATTGCCTCCATGGAACTTCTTGAAAAAGTTAAAGAAGCAGAGGAAAAGATTAAGGAACTTGTGGGTTCAGCATGCAGCGGAAAGCTATCGGAAGCCAAAATCTTACTTATTTTCAACTATTCCGCTTGGGCCCCTTGTGCTGCAGTTGAGTGCATATAGCACACAAATACATTTCAGTGGATATATTTTTAATTGTATTAAATAATGTTTACATGTGCTTGGTTGTGCATGCTCTACTGTCCCTCTTCTGGGATGTTCAGACAAAAACGGTAGCCACTCAGTCTGAAAAGATGATCGAGCTCGAGAACAATCTGGCCCAAGCCCATGATTTCCTTGACAAAGTAGAAGCCGCAAAGGAAAGCGCCTTGTCTGCTGCCGAACAGAGCAGAGAATTTGTACGGCACTATCCACTTAATAATTCTACGTTCTTTCCTCTATAAGTACATGTACTTTCAGTATGGCAATTAGTGCCAACATTTGAGTAAATAGCCACATTTTCGCATGATATATTTGCCCGAAACTTTTTGTAACGTAGTTGTGTACTTCTGTAGAACCCTCATGGTTTAATAGGCAAAAAAAGAAGAAGAAAGGTTTCCCAAGTCAAACAAAGAATTTGTCGAAGAGTTGCGCATGAAGCTACGGGACGAAGTAGTGCTTGAGCTGGCCGAAGAGGCGACGGCGGCATCTTCAAACGTAATGACGGCAGAGAAGGAAGTGCAAACAGATCCCGCGACGCCTGAGAAGAATGCAGACATAGTTGAAAAACCTGCAGAAAAACCTGAAAGCGTCCCTGTTTCGCCTCCCCAGCCACCAGCTCAGGAACAGAGTGAAGAGAACAATGTTTCTGGCCGACGGCTGACGGCCACCGACAGAGATCTTATTAAAAAGTGTATCGACGAAATACGCAGGCTGAACACCCTACTCTCAAGCCACGGATCTCCATCTCTTGGCTTCCCTCAACGGGAAGTGAGACATATGCCTCAGCCAGTTCAGGTTAACCCGTTTGGTTTAGTTTGTCTGCCTTTATTCCATAAGTACAGTTAGACGCTTGAATTGTTGTTGCATGCTCGTTCGGCCTTTGTTCCCGCGCAACTAACCCAACACCTACGCCAAGCCTAGAAAACTGAATTAGCACTTGACGAATACATCGACTTTTGTCTCCTTTGCAGATTGAAGAAGACAGGAGAGGCATCTCTGTGCGTAATACCTGCGTGGGCACATCGGAGGGGTCCTTCGGCGGTTTTCAGGGCAACGTGTACGAGCACGTACCCCTGACCACTTTGCGTCTTAGCCCGATTTATCGTGCAAATTTAGAAAGAACAGAAGGGGCAACCCCAAGAAGCATGCGCCACCCTGTGCACCAACCTGCGAATCCACCCACGCGTCTATCTCCTCGTGGCGTCCCACAGTTCGTAGAGGGCAGCACCCTTGCTGCCACATGGTTTAGCAGCCCCCCAGCAGCAGCTGTTGTTGCTGATATGACTGGAGTATCCGCAGTACCAGCTCCTCCTCACCAGCAGGGGCCGTCTTCTGGGTCTGGGGAGGCGGCTACGCTGCAGGACTCGCCGCAGCAGCAGACTTTCATGCATTCGCACTTGATGTCTGCTGAGGTTCCCGAGGACGTGGTTGTGAGCGGCAGCCCTGAGTCTAGCCAGCACACAGCATTACCCGTAAAAGGAAACAAAGCTTTTTCTCTGCCGGCTTCACTCCACGCAGAAGTTGCCGCTGGCGAGATAGGCAAGACAGCAGCACAAATACCAAAGGCGAAGTTTCAACCGTCCTTCGCCAATGACCCGTATCTTTCCCTCGAGCCCCCCGATCCCAGCTCTTCTGCATCCGCTGTTTTAAACACCACAGACTACGTAACAGAAAACACAACAGAAGTCACAAGGCTTCCCCGTTCCCCTGAAGGAACAGAAACGGAGGCTGTTGCAACTACGGAACTATCTGCTGCAGTAGCAGATCTAGATGTTCCTTCTGCCGCACCAACAGCGCTACCAGAGCCTGCAGCTAGCGGGCAAAACAGCCCAGTAAAAGAAATCTCCATTGCTGGTAGGCGGTTTGCACAAGCACGTAGATTTTCTGTACAGTGCTGGGTGTGCACATCGACTGTCTGCATCTTCTATTCATTTAATTCTAGGCAGGCTGTGCGTCTGTGTCCTGCATTTTTTGAATAAATTCTGAAACAATGTTTACAGTGACTTTAATAAACGTTTTCGACGCGCAGAGGGCGTTGATTGCACAGCATGAACGCAAAAGGGCTCTAGCTGTCTACATTTGTACATGAAGTCTGCCTGAGTGTTCAACCAACCAAAAGAAAACCCTCTGCCTGTGGCTACCTAGCTCCCTGTGATCACAAACGGCTGGTTTACGAAAGATCTAGATTAAAAATCCCGCACAAAAGCGTTATTTTGAATCCTGTTTTCAAGGCGTTACAAATGCGCTTAGAGTTCGCTTTGGCAAATACATTTACGGAGTAAATTTTGCACAGTGGCGTGACACTGCCTGGTTGTACAAGCACCCCAAGGCAGGCGCCAAACAGCAATTTCAATAATAAATTCTGAGGGGGATTTTGCCGGGCACGAGACCTACTACAAAATCCCATGCATGCACTCCAGCCTTAAAGTGCAAGAGAGAATGTTGCACTGCATGCTGAAATGCGTGCGGCTGTCTCAGCTCCAGCAACGGAAACTCCAATTCCAAATTCCACTTCTGGTTTTGTCGAAGGGGCATCGCTGAAAGAAGCGCAAAGGGCGGAAGTAGAAGAATCCCAATGGCAAGTTTCCCCTACGCCTTCATTAGGTGCCCATGGAAGCAGCAGCGCCAATGCTGCACTTGAAGCTCTCTCCTCTTCACATTCAGAGGCAGCAGTTGCAGGCGGAGAGAAGAAAATAGAACCAACAACAGCAATTGACAAAAACCAGAACTTTTCTAGTCAGGGGGAGCAGCCCATTTCCAACTCGCAGCCGAAGGCTGCTCCTACTACGCTACCTCCGCAGCAGCCACAGCAGCAGCAGCAGCAGCAGCAGCCAGTCCAGCATCAGCAGCAGCCAGTCCAGCAACAGCAGCAGCCAGTCCAGCAACAGCAGCAGTCAGTCCAGCAACAGCAGCAGCCAGTCCAGCAACAGCAGCAGCCCCTCCAGCAGCTCCAGTCGGACGAACAGAAATCCAAGCCAGAGCAGCAGCTGTCGCAGCCGCAGCCGCAGCAGCAGCAGTCGCCCCAGCCCCCACAATCCGACAAACAACAGCAACAAAAGGAGCAGCAGCAGCAGCAGCAACAGCAACAGCCTGCCCAGCAGCAACAGCAGCCCTCCCTGCAAGAGCAATCCTCTCAACAGCAGAAACTGTCAACGCAGCAGCTCCAGCCGCCCTCCCAGCAGCAAGTACAAGAAGCCCCCCAACCGCAGGAGCCGCAGCAGCCGCCGGCGCAGCCGCAGCAGCAGCCGCCGCAGCAGCCGCAGCAGCAGCAGCTGGTGGGGGAGCAGCTGCTGCAGGGTGCCGCGGCTGTGCGGGCGCAGCAGGCAGCTGCGGCGGAACGCGAAAGCGTGTGCGTGGGAGTTGAGGGGCGTTTGTGTTTGCCTCCCGAGGCCATCTTTGGCCAGCAGGGCCCCCCCCTGTGGCCCCTCGTCACTGGGGGCAGCGCCTGGCGCCGCAGCCACGCGACGAAGACCATTCGCCTCGCGCCGCTGCAGCGCACAGCCAGAGAGCACTTCCGGCCCCCGCCGCTGCACCCCGAGGCCCCACTCGCCGCCCCCCTCGCGCTGCACCCCGGTGCGCACTTCCCTGTGCATGCAGACTGTGCATGCGGCCACTTCCCTGTGCATGCAGACTGTGCGTGCGGGCACTTCCCTGTGCATGCAGACTGCGCATGCGGACACTTTGTAGTGCATGCACAAGCTGCATGCGGGCACTTTGTAGTGTATGCAGACAGTGCATGGGGGCACTTCGCAGTGCATGCAGAGAGTGCATGCGGGCACTTCCCTGTGCATGCAGAGAGTGCATCGGGGCACTTCGCAGTGCATGCAGAGAGTGCATGGGGGCACTTCGCAGTGCATGCAGAGAGTGCATGCGGGCACTTCGCAGTGCATGTAGAGAGTGCATGCGGGCACTTCGCAGTGCATGCAGAAGCTGCATGCGCGCGCAGAGGAGCAGAGAATGCGGCACAAAAGAGATAAAATGCACATATCTAGAAATGTTGTAAACTGCTGCCAATAGCTGGAGGATTAGGACTCAGTTGCAATTTGCTTCAGATGATTAGGACGCAGTCGCAATTTGCTCTAGATGATTAGGACTCAGTTATAATTTGCTGCAGATGATTAGGACTCAGTTGCAATTTGCTGTTTGTATTTGCTGCAGTTGGTGGAAGAGAATCTTTTGGAGATCGGCTGGCGCAGATGAATGAGGCGCCGCCCGACCCGGACAACGGGGTGTATCTACCCCTCAAGGGCTCGAAGCTTGGCAGCGCTCCACGGAAGTTTCCAAAAAAAGAAACAAAACAAACTCCCGAAGCCACTTGCAAAACTCTGAGTGATCTTCGCATTAGAAATGAAGTGCTCGAGAACCAGGTGAGCCAGCCAAAACTACAACTAAAAACTGTTTTGCAGAAACTTTGCTTTGCATGCAAAGTAAAGTGAAAGCAAAAGGAAAAGGGAATACATTCGTGAGCTGCTGCTGTTCAGCTTGTGAATTGCTGCTGTTTAACTTGTGAGCTGCTGCTGTTCAGCTTGTGAATTGCTGCTGTTTAACTTGTGAGCTGCTGCTGTTCAACTTTTAAACTGCCGCTGTTCAACTTTCTAACTGCTTCTGTTCAACTTCGTAACTGCTGCCGTTCAACTTTTTAGCTGGTGCTGTTCAACTTTTAGCTGCTGCTGTTCAGCTTTTTAGCTGCTGCCGTTCAGCTTTTTAGCTGCTGCTGTTCAACTTTTTAGCTGCTGCTGTTTAACTTTAGCTGCTGCTGTTCAGCTTTTTAGCTGCTGCTGTTCAACTTTTTAGCTGCTGCTGTTCAACTTTTTAGCTGCTGCTGTTCAACTGTTTAGCTGCTGCTGTTTAACTGTTTAGCTGCTGCTGTTCAGCTTTTTAGCTACTGCTGTTCAGCCTTTTAGCTGCTGCTGTTCAACTGTTTAGCTGCTGCTGTTCAACTTTTAAACTGCTGCTGTTCAACTGTTTAGCTGCTGCTGTTCAACTGTTTAGCTGCTGCTGTTCAGCTTTTTAGCTGCTGCTGTTCAGCTTTTTTAGCTGCTGCTGTTCAACTTAGGTTTTGGGGCTCTCCGTCGCTCTGGGGCAAGCTCACGAGCGGCTGAACACTCTGACGCGGGTTTGCGACCGGCTGACGGGAGGCGTTTCAGCGCAGAGATGAAATCTGGCAGTAATGCATAGGAGAGGCTCAGAAGATAATCTGACAAAGTCTGCATATTAATGCACATAAGAGGGGCCAGAAGATCTGACAATATCTGCACATTAATGTATACGAGAAGGGCCAAAAGATGGTCTGATAATACCTGCATATTAATGCATATGAGAGGCGCCAGAAGATAATCTGGGCTGTCCCTGCAGCGAACTGTGCAGCGTATTCCCCAGTTTGGCCGCCAGCGGCTGACGGGCTCATGCCAGTGTTTCCACTAGTTGTATTCTGAACTAAACGGAGTACAAAATCTGAAAAGAATTGCTTGGCTCCCCGAGGTTTGCATAATACGACACGGAATTCTTCCGTGTGGCAGCTCTACGAGGGGTGCACGCGGGAGTGTTTCAAATGTTGCAGCGCAATCTGCTGCAAACAGCACTCAAAAAGGGAAGAAGCAAGCATTCGTCACTTAATTAATACAGCAAAACGCAGAACTTTGCTTAAAAATGCGGCTGTACAGTGTGTTCTGCAACCGATCAAAGTGTGGGCCGTCCGTACACACGAACACGGGAAGTTCGTAAGCTGATCTGAGCGACTGCAGATCAACCCTAAGTACGGATAGCGCTTCCGTCTTGAAAATATTTACAGTTTCCTCAAACGCCGTAGTCCGGCAGGTTCGTGAAGTGGAGTGTTTGTTGAGGATTCCTTCGGCTGCACTGACACGCCGAAAATGGGGGAGGAAAGTGGCGCACTGACATGGGCAGAAGAGGTAAATTAGCGCTTTCCGTTCAAGAACGAGTGCTCGTGATGAGTTATTTTTGTATTCCAAACAGAAACAAGCATTTCAAAGTACGAATGCCTCGTTTTGCAAAAGAAAGCTGAAATTCAAGTCTGTTCAGCCGCGCTGCACAGGGTTTCGATCACTGCGTTGTTGGCTCTGAGCCGCCTCAGCGTGGCCTCTGCCTCCGTCCAGTCTCCCGCTGCAATCAAGTAAGCATTTTTGATTCATCTTTTATTTCTGCTGCCGCTTCAGCAGCCGCTGTCTGCGTCGAAGTGCAGAGTTCCTTCAGCCAGCGAGCCGCAACTTGAACAGCTGCCGGCCAGCGCAGCCCGCTCCTCGCCTTCTCTCGCTGCTGCTGCTGCTGCAGCTGCTGCAGCTGCAGCAGCAGCAGCGCCGTGGCCACCGGCTTGTCGAAAGCGCAAAACAACTCATTTGGGGACGGAACTAACGAGCGGCAGCCAAAGCTCAGCGAACAGCAGCCCACAGCAGCAGCAGCAGCGGCTGCTGCTGCGGCACCCCCAGCAGCTGCAGCGGCCAAGCCCAAAAGACCCGTCTCTCTCGGACTCCCCAAAGGATCCCGGAGCAGCAGAATACGCTGCTGCTTCACCTGCTGCTTCCCGTTGCAGTCTTGATGGCATAGTTGTGGTGGGATATAAATGAGAAATAAAAGAATAAAAAATGACAAATGAAATAAATGCATGCAACACTTCAGGTGCCCGGATGCAGGTGCGCGCTGTGCAGCTGGGCCTCGCACATAAACTCTTTGGCCGTCCGAAACATCTTCAACCCTCTGCACCAAAAGGGCTAGCAGCAGGCTGCTGCGGGCTTTGCTGCAGCGCTGCAGCCCCTGCTGCTGCTGCTGCTGCAGCCCCTGCTACAGCAGCAGCAGCAGCTTCTTTGGAGGCTTCCAACAAACGTTTGCTGCTCAAGACACTTCTCCATTCAGAAACTCCACAAACTGTTCAGAAAGTCCTCCGCCCTAGAGCAGCACAGGGAGCAGTACGCAGCACACATAAGTATAGATATATATCTATATAATATATATATAATATATATATATATATTGTATATATATTACATATTTTATATATATACAATATATATTATTAATATATATGTATGTAATATATATATGCATATAAATAAATATATTCTATATATATACATATAGAATATATAGTATTATGTAATATATATATGTAATATATATATGCATATAAATAAATATACATTTCATGTTTGCGAATATACATTCAAAAGAATGCACTGGCCGTGCAACTTGTAAAGCCCACATGTTTAGGGAAGTTTTGGAGTGTCTGTACACCGAAGAAAGTGTAGAAGTGCGCATGCACAGAAGTGTTTGTTCACATTTTCAGAATATAAAAGTGCATGCAATTTATGCATGCATGCAATTTATGCATGCATGCACACGAGCAGCAGCAAGAAGTTCTGCACTGACACCTCTAAAGAACGAACAGCAGCAGTTTCGCGTTTGCAGAACTCTAGACCACATTTGCAAACGCATGCAAACGCGTGCAAACACACGCAAACGCATGCAAATGCATGCAAGCGCATGCAAATGCATGCAAATGCATGCAATGGATGATTTTGTCGAAGCTTCTTCAGTCACCTCTTTCCCCCTTTCGCTTTGTCTCTGGGGGAGGCCAAAGCGCTCTCTGTCTTCGTCGCTAAATCCCAAAACGTCGCAAATCAACAAAAATATTTCTTCGCGTCTTTTTATGTTTCCCTGGCCCGCAAGAAAATAAAAAGTGCACAAATAATATGCTGCTGCAGCAAGAGATGCATGTGCTGCTGCTGCAGCAAGAGATGCATGTGCTGCTGCTGCAGCAAGAGGTGAATGTGCTGCTGCTGCAGCAAGAGATGCATGCAAGACTCCATGCGCTGCTGCTGCAGCAAGAGATATCAGCAGAGATATATGCAACACTTAATGCGCTGCTGCTGCAGCAAGAGATACATGCAACACTTAATGCGCTGCTGCTGCAGCAAGAGATACATGCAACATTTAGTACGCTGCTGCTGCTGCAGCAACAGATATATGCAACACCTAATGCGCTGCTGCTGCAGCAAGAGATGCATGCAACACTTAATGCGCTGCTGCTGCAGCAAGAGATATATGCACAAGTTGAAAACTGCTTTGCATGCGCTTGCGGAATGGCAGGGCTGTGGCGAAGTGCAGCACAACTGCGTCTTTAGATTTGAATGAAGAATCTTTTTTTGGCAAAAAGATGCAAAAGCTGCACTACAAGTAAATACAAAAATGTGGAAAAGGCAAAGAAGTGGGGCGCTTGTGCATGCAACTCGAGACGTGCCGCGTGTACAGACACCTCACGTGCGTTTCTTGGTACTTGGCTATCATTTGAGCTACAATTCTTTTGTCCACAAAATAGTCCTGATCTTCCACTTGTGCATGCAGCTTCTGCAGCAGCTTCTGCATGCCATCTCTGATGCGCAGAAACAGAAACAAATCCAAAGTCTCAAATGCCAAAGTTTAGAACCTGCAACCATTCTTGCTGCTTGCGGCTTTTCACAAAAAGAATCAAAAACCCAGAAGAAGCGGGAAACCTAAACCCTGAACCCTAAACACTAAACCCTAAACCCTAAACCCTAAACCCTGAAACTTGATCTCTGAAACCTCTTGGCCTCACGAAATAGTTTTGTTGTCCGCTTCATATTTATCTGCTGCTGCTTTTGCTTCGTCTCTTTGTTTGAAGGCCTCCTCCAGCTTTCCCTCAAGTTCTTGAATTTGCGTTTTGAGGGTTTGGTTCTGAAGATGCATTCAAACAAAACGCAATTTGCAAAAAGTTCCGAAAAGTGTTTAAATTTATCATTTAATTGTTTACAAAATGGCGCACTTGATTTAAATCATTTTGCATTTCCTCCAATTCACTTCGAGCCGTCGCCAACTCCGCGCGAAGTCGACTGACTGTGCCGTCGCAGTCTGTCTGGACACCCGAACGCAGCAGCAGCAGCAGCAGCAGCAGCACGAAGTAAAATAGTGTGCGGGGGCAAAACAGAAAAAGAAAATATGAAAATAAAACGGAAAAGAAGATTCAAATAAAACACAAGAAAACAACAGAGGCTTTAAATGGCCACTGAGCCCCAGGAAAAAAGGTGTCAGTGAGATATTTGTTTCAAACACCAAAAGAAAGAATAAAACACTGGAGGAAATAAACAAAAAAAGTGTTTTAAAAAAGGAGTCAAAAACTGGATAATATTTGAGATAACTGTTTCAAATACCAAAAGAAAGAATGAACCATTCGAAGAAATAAACAAAAATATAAAAAAAGGAAAAAAAGGAAGAAATAGATAACAATCAAGATAATTGTTTCAGATACCAAAAGAAAGAGAAAAATAGATGAAGAAATGAACAAAAAATGCAAAAAAAGGAGAAGAAAAGAAATAGATAAAATTAAAAGCAAAAAGTGCAAACCTGAACAAATACCAAAAGAAAGGGCAAAACAATTGAAGAGATAAACAACAAAAGTGAAAGAGAAAAAAAAGAAATAAATAAAATTAAAAGTAAATAAATGCAAACCTGAACTTTCTTTAAAACTCGCGCATATTTCTCTACAGCCGATTTGGCCTCTTGCAGTTCCTTTTCCATCGCGTCTCTTTCGGAGTGGGCTTTAATTAATTCCACTTCTATTTATTTTTAAAATGCAAAAAACAAAAAGAAATTAAGACTCAAAAATGAAAAACGAAAAGTGAAAAAGTATCCCAACAATACGCAGAGGGCTCATTGCCTCCAGTTGCAAAGTGCTTCTTTTTTGTTTTCGCCGTATTTAGAACATTTTTGAATTTTAAAAACATTTTTGAATTTTAAAAACGTTTTTGAACTTTTAAAAACACTTTTGAACTCTCAAAAACACTTTTGAACTTTTAAAACGTTTAAACTTGGCGGGGATATCGAAAAAGTGTTTCAAAAAAAGTTCAAGTTGGGTTTCTGAGAACCTGAAATGCTTTGGATTTCTCGAATTTCTTCAAGTCTTCCACTTTCTCGTTTTACAGTTTCCAATTCTTTCTCGAGTGTCTGCACTCTCTGCATGCAAAGTTGTAAAACAACTCCACAATAAAAGGAATCATTTTCATTTCCAATTACTTTCTTTCAAATTAAAAGCTCTTTTCTCATTTTAAAACATTTCTGCTTTCTTTCAAATTAAAAACTCTTTTCTCATTTCAAAACATTTCCACTTCTTTGCAAATTAAAAGCACTTTTCTCATTTCAAAACATTTCCAGTTATTTGAAAATTAAAAACACTTTTCTCATTTTAAAGCATTTCCACTTTTTTGAAAATGAAGGGGCTTTGTTCTGAGGTGTATGTACCGCTGCGGCCCCTCGAAGCTCCGCCAACTCTTCTAAAGCTTCTTGCAAAGCTCGAGAGACAGAAGCATGAGAAGACTGAACAAAAAGAAAAAGAAAAAGAAATTAAATCTTCATTTTCACTTTAATTCATCTTTGCATGCATGCATGCAATCTTGAGATTGCATGCATGCATGCAATCTTGAGATGAAGTGCTTTTGCAAAACCACGAAAAGGCCACTTTTTGCATGCAATTCTGTCCAAGTTTGATTATTAACTCTCAGAATTATAAAGAATTCAAATGCTTTTTTGCATTAAAAAGGACACTCTGCATGCACTCTCGTGGGGACTTGTAATTGAGATATAATAAAAAGAAAAGTCTAAAAGAAAAGATAAAAAAGCAAAAGTTTAAAAGCAAAAGTTTAAAGGCAAAAGACTGCAAGTGAAAGTCTAAAGGTCTAAAAGAAAAGACTAAAAGTAAAAGTCTAAGAGAAAAGACTAAAAGTAAAAGTTTAAAAGTTTAAAAGTTTAGAAGAAAAGTTCAAAAGAAAAGTCTAAAAGCAAAAGTTTAAAATAAAAGACTAAAAGTAGAAGTTTAAAAGAAAAGGCTAAAAGAAGAAGTTTAAAAGTTACAAAGTCTAAAAGAAAAGACTAAAAGAAAAGAGTAAAAGTAGAAGTTTAAAAGTTAAAAAGTCTAAAAGAAAAGTTAAAAAAAGACAAAAGCAAAAGTTGAAAACACAAAACAAACCTGCCAAGAACGGAGTTGGAGGAGAAGGTCTTTGTTCTCGCTGGCCAACTCTTCTGAAGATTGGATTTTATTTATTTTTTTTTTTTCAAAGTTTTCCAAAAGTTCCTTGTACAAAACTCTGCAGCAACCGCAGCAAGTCCTTGCATGCAGCATGAAGACAAGTTCAAATGGCTTTCTTTGAAGCCGGAAACTTCGAGGAAGTTTTAATAATTGTTTTTCTTTTTATTTATTCTATTTTATTTTATTTTCTTTTTTACAAACCTAACTGTCTCCAGCTGCTCCGTCACTTTTCCTAATTGCGTCTTCAGCCTTTCCGTTTCTTCGCTGTCAGCCTGAAGGCCAAAAAGCGAACAAAAAAGAAAATCAAAAAAGAAATAAAATGCAATTGAAATTAAATGAAATAATAACGAATGCGGAATTAGAAAATAAAAGTATTAATCAGAAGATCCAGTTAAAAACGGAAATGAAAAAACTGGAAGAAAGAATGAAAAAAGATGAATTCCTACAACTTTCGTCCGTTTTCACATCTAATCTTCTAGTTTTTACTTCATTTATTTCAATTTTGTCATTTAAGCTTATTTTTATTCCTTTAAGTGCAATTATCGCGTGCAAAAAGGAGAAAACGAGAAACTGAAGCTGGGCTCGTTGCATGTGCAGTTGCTCGGGCGCTGGGGCGTACGTACACCCGACCTGTTTCGCTCTTTCGCGCTCAGCTTCCCTCTGCTCTTCAATCATTTGTTGTGAGTCTTTTAAATCTTCAGTGAGCTCCATCACCCGCCGCTGCAGCGCAGCAGCTTGGTGCTGCAGCTGCTGCCGCTTCGCCATTTCCTGCAGCAGCCGCCGCTCAGCCTCGGGGGCCCCGGGGGCCCCATCGCTGCTGTCGAGGGCATCTTCGCCTTGCCTAGGAGTCACTACTACGGAGCTTCCGCGGGACAAAGTACCCCCTGGGGGCCCCCCGGGGGGCCCCCCCAGGGGCCCCCAGGGGGCCCCCGAGGCGCTCAAAGACCCGCTGTTGCTGCTCTCCTCGGCAGCTGCTGCTGCAGCAAGGGCCCCCGCACAGCGCACGAGCTTTTCTGCTGCTTTAACACATTTTGTTAAAGAAGAAAAACCCCAATTTGGGTCTTGGGGGGGCCCCCGGGACTCC